AAGAGCACCCATGCCAAAACCATAATAACGCTCGTGTTCGAGTGCACTCCATTCGATGATGAGAGCATCCATGCCCAAACCGTAATAACGTTCGTGTTCGAGTGCACCCTGGTTATAAACATGTCCTGCAAGCGCGTCTTAGGTAGTATTTCCGGACCCCCGGTCCAGACCCCCAAACAGCATCAGGAGAGGCTTATCACTGAGCATTCTTTAAAGGACACCCACCCTGGCTGCAGACATGTCCTGGAAGCGTGTTTTGGCGGCCAAACAGCATCAGGAGAGGCTTATCCATGCCCAAACCCTAATGCCGTTCATGTTCCAAGAGCATACGCTTACCAGAGCCTCCATGCCCAAACCATAACACCGTTCGTGTTGCTTCCTCAGCCTGGGTTTGGGCGCAAACTAGACGTTTGTGACTGCGGGGACAAGCTGTAAGAATGCGTGCATTTTCCTTGTCAGAATAAAGACATATATTTTGCGTTCTGCGGCCATCCTCAACGGGAACGGTTTTTAGGGTTTATGGTTTTTAGAGTTCAGGGTTTTAGGGTTTGGGGTTTTTAGGGTTTAGGTGGGTCTATTGTTTGTATTTGGTTTCTCAATATTTCGCAATGGTTTTAAGGTTTAAGGTTTTTAGATGTTTTTAGAATTTAGGGTTTTAGAGGTTAGTGTTTTTAGGGTTTAGGATTTTTTGGGTTTAGGTTGTTTTTTAAGCTTAAAGTTTTTAGGATTTAGGGTTTTTAGGGTTTTGTGTTTTGAGGGTTTAAGGTTTTTAAGGTTTAGGTGCTTGTTAGGGCTCAAGGAAATCGCGGCTCAAGATAGTGGGTGGGGTAGTTGATGCTCTTCGGTGATCACTCGTGAATCACGCGAGTCTCCCAAGAGACCACATGCAGCCAACAATGACTCCCCCGTCAAAAAGCATGAAGAGAGCCCAGCGATCACCTCTGAATGAAATGGATGGAGATGAACTTGAGCCAGATGAGTCTGAGGAAATGCATCGTGGATTCACAGTGGCGCAGATGGCGAATGTAGTGCGTAGCGAAATCCAACGTGCATTGGCCCCCGTGGAGCTGCAGTTGAGTCATATGAACGTGTCTCTTGGTCAGAAGGTGGATGAGATTGAGAGCGCTGTGGTTCAACAAGGTCTTCGTATTGAGAAATTGGAGAATATGATGGTAGAACAAGGGGGGACTCCAAGGTCAACGGCTTCGGAACGAAGTGCTGCGTTAGAAGGTAAGATCAATGATTTGCAGTCTCAGTTGGCAATGTTGAAGGCTTCGGACCCCGCAATTCAACCTGAACACGTGAGAACCATGGTCGTGGGGGGTTTGGAAGGGTTGGCGTCCATTCAAAACGCCACGACATGGCTTACAAACAAGCTGAGTACATTGCATTGCCCTCCGCATATCGGTAGTTACATCAAGTCGCAGGAGTTTCGAGGACCGATTTTTGCAAAATTCCGGTCCTCCATTGACAGGGATACAGCCGTTGCCTTGCTTAGAAGCGTCGAGCTACATGAACACGGAAAAAGGGTCTGGGCAACACAGGACCTGCCGCTTGCAGAGAGCCATGAAAGTATTTCTCATGGGATTGCGATGGCAGCTGGGAGAGTGGGGTTTCATGAAGCGTGAGATCGAGATCGGCGAGGGTTTTGCAAGCATGAAGGTTGGCCCCAATGTTGTGGTCACTTTGTCCAATCAACAACAGAAACTGCAGTGTGATTGGTTGGACACATGGTCTCAGTGGCAAGACTTACAAAATAGCCCAGAATTGAAGCAGCTGATCGATCGTGCTAACGACATGTTGCAAAAGAGGCAGGCTGCAAAGGAGCAGGGCAAAAGCAAACATGCTCAAATTTGGAGACAGCTCCGTTCGAGTCACCAAGTTTCACACATGTCGCACACTTCAGGTCAACCTGTTTCCACCGTGGGTAAGCAGACAGACCTAGAACACGTTTTCAAGTCAGCGCATGCGAATTCATTCCTTTCAATTTTTGCGAAAAACGATGAAAAACGCAAGGTGGTTGCATACAGAAGACAGATTGGCGGAGCTCATGGGTGAGTTGTGTGATTTGGATTGGGATTTTGTATTGCTGAGTGAGACGCGCCGTGGGGGGCAGCAATGTAAACTGATTGACGGCCATATGTTGTTCCCATCATCGCAGAACACGACTGCAGCTGGTGTGGCTGTGCTTGTTCACAGTCGACACAGGCAAAGCGTGAAGCGGGTTTGCTCAGTCGGTATGTGGATGTGCTTTTTGGTGCCACCATGCATCGCATGATTGCGGTTTATATGCCTCATGCAGGATATCCGCATGAAGACTTGTGCTCTGTATATGAGCAACTTCATTGTGTTCTGACAGAAACGCTAAGCTTGGGGCATGCTACGGTTGTTGGTGGCGATTTCAATTCACAATTACGAGTGGGCAGACGCGGGGATATGCTTCAAAAATTATCGTCCATGTTTAGTTTGCAGGTGGCTAACGAAGCTTGTGGCCCTGATGCTTGGACATTTCATAGTTCAGCTGGGGAAACACGGCAGATCGATTTCATCTTGTTTAGCAAAAACATGTTACGCGCAGGATTTTCTGGGCCGACCGACCGCATTGACCTCGGTTCACACCATCGAGCTGTGTGGTGCAAACTGGCGACGCAACGACGTGTTAAGAAACCCTCAGGTACCACGAAAACTCCTGTGACTAGAGCAGCAAGAGTCCTCAAACAACTGTCCAGCGGTCAGTGACTACAACATGACATAAAGAGAAAGAAACGAATCTTTACATGATCCAATAAGGATCGGCTGTGCGACTGATAGCGCTTCCACTTGGTCACGAGGACCCGTAGCTTCAAGAAGGAGTTATCTTACAAAATTTTAATGGGTAGAGATAAAGGACCACACAAAGCCGGAAAATGCGTTCTACGGCACGTGTCAACTGAGCAAATGCTCAAATAGGAGATGATGCGAATCAAGATTGACATTGCAACAGCAATGTGGCGTAGCATGGCAAAGCCAGTATTCAAGATCAGTCAAGTTTGACAGTTGGTCGTCAAGAATCTGCTCAAGTGGACATCCAATCCAATCATCAGCATCACTGCAAGCTATATACAGCGAAGTTATGTACAATGAACACGATCAGTGTGACATCACATCGATAGTGATGTTTGGATGATGTGGCGAAAATAACAATTGCAACAATGCATCATCGGACAGATGCTCAACATTCGTTAGCCCAGACGAATGGCAACGTTGCAGCCATGCTTGTCGCCATGGCGCATATAAAGCACAAGCGCGCAGAGAATGAAAAAAATTGCACGCATCAGCACCACACAGACATGGGTGAACAAGAGACCTGTGTCGCGCTGAGCGTCCATCCATGAAGGGATGGTGTCCGCAACGTGCCAACGTCCACTCACGAACATGAGAGGAAGACAGACGTGAGCAGTGGATGGTTGCGCAGAAGCTCAGATTAGGATGGCAGCGTGCAAACATGCGGAGTGACGGCACAGCGGCAACTTCATCTTGGCTGGCAGCCGAAGCCCTCCGATTCAGGGTCGGGAGCATGCAGCGCCGCGTCCAAGCAGTAACGGCATTGGGGCTGCATCCCGAGGACAACCCCACGGAGGTGGCAGATCAATGCCAAGCTCACGCACGCTAGCAGCCACCCCATGTGCCCAGGAACCGGGTTGTTCCAAAGCGTAACGAAAGACCCGTGCGGCAACACCTCTATAGGCACCAGCGGGGTTGACAGAGCAAAAACGTCCGAACAACCTGAATTGATCCTTGAAGACAACCCAACTCACCTAAAACAGCCGCGCCGGGGGCCCCAGAAGGCCAGAGTAGTAGGCGGCGACCCCACTGTCGCAACTTCTTATCCATAGAGGCGGTGGCAGCTGTGCTGAGGAACTGGGACCCATACAGCATAGCCGGCAGCACATATGAGTGGAACAAGCTGCGGCGGAATCCGAGGTGCAGGCGACGGTTTTCTGCCCAAGCAAGACACTGGTAGAATTTTCGCCGACTCTTTTCACAGAGGAGATCGGCATGTCAAACATGAATTTGCAAATGAGCAGCTGACCCGAAGTTTTTGCGGCTTGAAGCGCATGGCCCGGGGACCCTTGGCAGTGTCTGCTGCGAGTGGAGGGATCGGAGGTTTGGTCTTGCAGGCTTTGGTGGATTTCATTCGAAATGATAGCAGTGTGATTGCTGTAGCGCCTCCTGAGCCATTTCTGCCGCCAGCCAGCCTTTCTTTCACTGATACAGCAGCTGAGTGGCACTGGCCATCGGTCGCCCTCGGCATAATTGTGGGTCTTTCGGTAGGTCCTATCTGTGAATTTCTCCTTGACCTGCGCAGCATCTGGGCAATCTGGGTTAGGCGACAGCTGGTGCGACTGTTTCGGCTCCCCAGCTCCCTTGCCCCAAGGCCCTTATATCGAGAGCTGTAAACAGGTGCATGGACCCTAGCAGTCAGCAGGATCTCTTGGTGGAGCTGCGTGAGCTGCGGGTACTTGTTCGTGATCTGCAGGAGAGGGTTCGCATCTTGGAGCTCCGGGCTGATCGCTCAGAGCCTTCTTATCCTGCTCCTTCCAGAGAGCAGGTTCCTTTGACCCCGCCGAGGACTCCCCAAAGGTCCTTTACCTCAACTTTGCCTTCGTCTGCTGCTTCCTCGCCGTCAGCTCCGGTGGTTGATCGAGAGGTTGTTTGCAAGGACGTCGGGGCCTGGGTGGCTCGAGCTCTTCGTGGAGAACATCGCGGTCTTTCGGGCAGAGAGCGCCTGAGCCCTGGATCCAAGATCTACTTGCTGTTCAAAGATTACGAGGGGAACACCTATAATCCCGTTCAGATTTTTCACCGTTGGTCTGACCTTTGCCCCCCAGTTTCTGCTGCAGGAAGTGTGGAGAAGAAGCCGCGCACGGGAAGCTCGGTGTACATTGGTCTGCCAAGCCAGGCGGACGCTAGATTAGTGGTGCATTCAGCTGGACTTCAGTGGCCGGAGCGTCAGTGAGATGTCTGAGTTGGATGCTGACGAGGGGGTTGAGAGTGAAGGTTTGTTTGACGGAGAGCCGTATCCCGACGGAGTTCGGGAAGCAGTTTTGTTTGGTGCCGAGGGCGAGATCCACGCGGAGTATCCCGTTGGCGTCATCAGTTTTGAGGGGGACCCCACCGTGTTCATCCAGGTGATTTCCATTACAGTTGTCCAGGGCAGGGTCCTTGTTGCAGTTCCGTTTTCAGCATGGCGCCGGTCTATAAGCAGAAGGGCGGTGCCTCAGGGTTCTCTGAGTCGAGCAGCTTCTTTTGCAGTGCAGGCCACCCATGTAGGCGATCGCAAATCCGAAGCGGAGGGGATGCTTGTCAAGATGTGGGTTGGTTACCTGAGCCCGGCCCTGGAGACATCAGTGCGCTATCCGCCGGACGGAGAGGAAGTTTTGACATTGCATCATCCTTTCCAGACAGAAGACGGCGACAGCGAGTATCTGCCCCTTGCCCAGGCTTTGGTGACTTTGGCCGACGACCGGTTTGCCTTCGCTTCGGCTGCTTCCCAGGAGTCCAGTCAGGAAGCCCGATTGATCAAGCTCGAGGGCGGCATCGCAAGCTTGCAGGAATCCATCCGAGAGCTGGTTGCCGTGCAGAGCCAGGGTCGACGGGAGCAGCCTATTCCACCGACTCGGACTCAGCCGAAGGCCAGCCCCACCGTAAGCGCCGGGCTTGGATCTCGAAAGGCCTTACCTGGCTTGGATTCAGCTGTGGTGGCTGCTGCGCGTCAGGCGGGGGTCCCAGAGAGCCACTTAGCGGAGATGTCTCGGCTGGCTGCTCAGCGGAAGGGCCCTCTGCAAGATGCTCCGGGCAGGCAGGGGAGGGCTCCCGAGAAGGTGGATGTTTTGGGGGAGCCAGTCGCGGAGGAGTTCTACGACGAGGCGGCGGTGGCCGAGCCACAGCCCAACAGCACCGATGCCATTTCCAATGCCCTGATCAAGTTGACCACGATTGTCGATCACCTGGCCACGAAAAAGACCAAGAAGAGCACTCTGGAGGACCTCCTCGACGATTCAGGACCGAACATCACCGAAGCAAGCTCTTCCAGCTCCTCGAGCCGTCGCAATGCCGCGGTGATCAAGGCGTTGAGGAAGGCGCTGGTGGAGTCTCCCGAGGACATCTTTGCGGTCCTGTACCAGGCCATGCAAGAAGATTTTGGGTCTCGCGTGGGGGGCCCAGGCGAGAGTGGAAGTCAGCAACCGACATTCCGCGGCTGGGCGGAGCATCGGTCTCGCATCCCGAACATACAGGGATCAGTCCGAGTTGCGTGGAGCATATCAGGCGCTCTGGATTGTTTAGTGGCAAATCGCATCGACGAGGCGAAAGCTCGTCTGGGCTATTACTGGCCCAGCTAGATCAAGTCGCGTGCGACAGAGGTCAATGGTTGATTGCCGCGGAGGCGGCTCTCGAACCGACAGCGCCACCTTTCGGAGCGTTTGCCCGTCACACGGCCCCAGAGCAAGGCGAGACCCAGTTCTCCAAACTTCTAGATGCCAGATGGATCGAAGCATTCGTCGCCAAGGTCAAGGAGCAGGAGGAGTATGTGGAAAGAAGGGATCGCCTAGGACGGCGGAAGCTACATCCGAATCCGAGCACGGATCCCGAAGAGCATCAGGACGGACCAAAGCCAAAGGCCAAACCCAGCCCATCCGAAGGGGGAGGGAAAGGGGAAGAAGCCCGAGGCCGGCGACAATGCCAAGTTAGCTCTGAGGGGACGGCCGAGATTGCTGACGGCCCTCATTTGGACAGGAGTGGCTGTTCGGCTTCTGAGGACCCTTCGACCGAGCGCACGTCGTGCTCCGTATCACATGTGCCTGGCTCGTCAGCTTCTACAGTTTCAGCGGAGTCATGGTGGAATTCGGGCCTGAGGGCGATTCTTCGCTCGAAGGGCTCCTTTGCTACGTTTTGCAGATCCCTGTTGTGTGCAGCAAGATCACCTTCCGAGGAGGAGGGCACCGATAAGCTATGGCCTTTGCCAGTCCCATATCCGCATGTGCTGCGGCGAGAAGCAGGGCCGAGGGAGAATGACTTTAGCTTTAAACGTGCTATCTGCCTTCAAGTCATTGCACTGAACTGGCTATATCTAAACCGTCCCCCAGTGGCCCCTCGCGGCTTGCGGTTGGATCGTTCCCTGACGAAGAGTCAGTGGAAAGTGGTCCGGGAGCTTGAGCACCAAAGCTTTTCGTGAAAAAACCAAACAGTTTCAGCTGTGCTCTATTGAGCGAGCAGTACAGTTTCTCAGCAAGGTGGCAAGTAATGACGATGTCAATCATGTGGTGCCAGGTGGCCCCTTCTTCGAGTCTCTGGGAGGCCGATATATGCATCACCATCGGCTTTTCAATACTGCTTCCAGCTTCAGTCCGGGGTTGCAACGAGCTTTTGGGGGCCATGAGATTCCTGATACAGTGGGCGGCAGTGGCAGCTCTTGTGCAGCAAAACGCATTGAAGTTAACCGATTGAGATTTCGCTCGAAACCCCAGTTCAACCCCATGCCTTTTCTTGATCAACGTTCTCAGCGAATCTATGACACACCTATTGACGTTGCTTTGCAGCCTGATGAAATCTGGGTTGATCCCCCGAAGGTGCGGATTCATGCTGCGCCCGATCAACGACAAGCTCTTTTTCGTGCTCTGGATGCCACAGGGCGTCTGGGCCTGATTGGGGAGAGTGAGGTCGTCAGGGGATTTCAAGCTGGTGTGTTCTCCATTACGAAGGATTTACACACTGACAGACTCATTTTTGATTCCAGACCGTTTAACCTACTTGAGACAGCACCGAAGAGATGGGTCCATAGCACAGCCACGGCAGCGAATCTGTGTGACCTGCAGCTTCCTGAAGATTGCATTCTCGTAGCTTCTGGCACTGATTTGCGCGAGTTTTACTATTCTTTTATTGCAGGCAAACAACGCACGATCAGAAACACGTTAGCTTGCGCCCTCTCCCCAAGAGAAGCTCGGCAATACACAGCATATCATTCTGGGTTGGCGTCTGAACAGAAGATCTATCCTGCCTTGATGACATTGGGGATGGGTGACACTTGCGCTGTTGAGCTTGCCCAGACAGCCCACATATCCATGCTGATCCAGTCGGATGCCGTGTCGGAGGATGAACTCTTAGCACTGCATCTACCTTGCCCCAGGTCGTTGAGCATGACCGGTGTCGTGATTGACGACCTGGTAGCGCTGGAAATCCTCAGCCGGCAAACCTTTGAGGCGGGGTTCGAAGCCAAGTCAGCACGCAAGGTTAGGACCATGCTCAAGAATTACGTTGATGCTGGGCTTGAACCTCATGAGGGAAAGACATTTTATCAGGAACCTGTCTCGACTTTCTGGGGAGCTGCTGTCGATGGAGTTCGAGGGCAGGTCCGGGCCAGTCTAAATCGTGTGCTGCCGATCACGTTTGTGACCTCACTGGTGCTCAAGATTGGCGTTGTCTCACTTGCCTTGCTGGAAGTTTTGGTGGGGTGCTGGACTTCGACTTTCTTGTTTAGGCGACGATTGCTGAGCTTGTTCTCTGTTGTTTATGAACCCTTGCAGCGTGGATTGCGGAGATCGACGGTGATCAGGCTGTCCCCTGAACTGGCTGAGGAGTTGTTACTGATAATGTGTCTGGCTCCACTTGCTGTCACTGACATCAAAGCCCGAAATTCTTCATACATATACTCCTCGGATGCTTCTTCCGATTTTGGAATCGGGGTGACCAGAGCTCGGTTGCCTGCCGGTTTGGAAGCTGAGGTTCACCGACATAAATTGCACCGGCCTGTATGGACAAAGTTGCTCACACCATTACGCAAGCTCCAAAGGATGCTCCTTGATCAGGAGCTTCCGGATGGGCAGCGGCTGCCCAGTCACCCACTTTGGCTTGCTCTTGGTGGTGGTCTGGTTTATGAGGAAGTGCTGCGCCAGCGAGTCGTGAAGCACACCCACATTAACATTTTGGAGCTCAGGGGCCTCACAAAAACCGAACAGATAGCATCTTCTACTGGCATGCGTCAGCGGGTTTTCCAGCTTGCGGACTCTCAAGTAGCGCTAGGCTGCTGGATAAAAGGGAGAGCATCCTCTACCGCTTTGAATCAAGAGTTGCAAAGAAGCTTGGCGATTCACTGTGGGTGCAACATGCAAAGTAATGCTGGGTTCTTGCCCACAGAGTACAACTCAGCCGATGGTCCCAGCCGAGGCCGTGACCCTGATCCTCCTTCGCTTGAGCTGCCCTCGTGCTTTGCTAGTCTGCCTGCCCTTGCTGAATTTGATTCTTGGCTAGCGAGAGCTGGAGCAGATCCGTATACTCTTTCAGGGCTGCCCTCTTTCGACGAGTTGAAAGCTGAACCAGGTTTCAAGTGCAAACCCTCAACTGGCCGGCGGAAGTTACAGAGATTGCAGCTTGCTTCAGGTGTCATTTCACAGGCCTCAGCTAGGGACGATGCGCAGATCAAACACATGTCCTCTTGTGCCAGCCCGGAGGTTGGGGATAGGTCTGAGCTGCTGGATCATCCGAGCACCTTTGTTGAGACTGGCGCGGTATTGTGCGCGGAGGCCGTTGAGTTACTGAAGGCTTTCCCTGTTGAACAGTTTGTGCTCCCGAGCTGGGCTAGCAACAGGGCGGACTGGAGACCCTCTCGTGTCGGCTATCTTGACCTTTATTCAGGAAAGAAGGGAGTTGCCCGTGAGCTTGCCGAGCTCACTGGAGGCTGGATCCTCTCGTTTGAGATACTTGACGATCCTGCACAAGATTTGAGTTCCCCTCACTTGAGGCGTCTGCTAGGGAGATTGGTTGCCCTTCATGCATTCGATGGCGTTGGCGTAGCAATTTTCTGCGCCTCCTTCAGCAGAGCGGTGACTCCTCCCAGGAGGTCAGCGGCTGAGCCCTACGGAGTTGAAGGTTTGACTGGCACAGCGCTTGAGAGTGTGCTCACTGGGAATGATCACGCAGAGTTCGCCCTGCGTATTCTGAAGTTGTGCATTGATACTGGGATCTGGTACTGGTGTGAAAATCCTCACACAAGCTTTCTGTGGTGGCTCCCCGGTTTCGCGGAGCTGGGGGCCAGAGAGAGGGCCAACCGTTTCCTGGTCGACTACTGCACGCTGGGTGCGCCGTGGCGAAAGCGCACTGCCATTATCACGAACACTCATTTGAAAGGCTTTTCTGTCTTGTGTGCTAGGCGGCATAAGCATAAGGTTCTTAGGGGTTTCTCAAAACAGAACAAGTGTTGCTGGACAAGGGTGGCGCAGGAGTACCCCAAGCAGCTGTGTATGTGGATTGCGTATGCTCTGGCTTATGATTCAGGCCGGGTCTCTGGAACAAGGCCCATCACAGTCGCTGCGATGGCAAAGTGCTGTCATGGTCGAATCGGCGAGGCCAAAAATCCTGGTCCGCGAGGTCGGCGAGATTTTGGCTACCGCGCTGGCATAGATCTTGATCAGGTTCCCCTGGTAGAAGCTGCTACGTCCAAGTTGGGAGTTAAAGTATATGTCCTCTTTGTTCAGTGGCTCCATGCTTATCTCTCGGCTGATGCTTGCGAGGGGCTCTTGGCTTGTCCAGCAACGCTGGCGGAACTGGCGAGGTTCTTTGGCACAGTGCTCTTCGACCAGCGGCATTCGTTGTACATGTACCGGCAGTTGCTCACTCATCTTCTGCGGGAGGTGCCCAGTGTTCGTCAGTACCTAGGTGGAGCATGGCAGCTGGTTACGAAATGGTCCAGGCTCGAACCTGTAGAACATCGGCTGCCGGTTCCAGTTGTGCTGCTGCGGGCTCTCGCCAGCCTGGCCCTATCGTGGAATTGGCCCCGCTGGACCGCTATGACTCTCATGATCTTTTTCGGTATCGCCAGGCCTGGCGACGTACTTCGGGCCAAGCGTTCGGAGCTGCTCCTTCCTGAGGATCTGGTTGCCGAAGCCGCAGATAGCCTGTACATCAAGATCCTGGGTCCCAAAACGCGGCATCGAGGCCTAGGGCTTGTACAACACACCAAGGTGACAGATCCGCTGGTGACAAGTTTCTGTTCGAAAGTGCTTGGACGGCTTCCCTCAGCATCGCCATTATATCCGGGCAACCCAGCAAGTTTCCGAAAGCGCTGGGACGCCTTGCTGCATGCTCTTGAGATTCCTGACTCCTTGCGTCTCACTCCGGCAGGGCTTCGAGCGGGAGGGGCCGTTTGGGCCTACAGGCAGAACACTGAATTGCAGCGGATTCTTTGGCAGATGAGGTTGTCGAATCTCACCACTCTTCAGCATTATGTTCAGGAAGTCGGTGCCGACAGTGTGTTCGTTCAATTGCCGCCAAGGTCGAGGTCTTTGTTGAAGACAGCTAGTTCTTGCTACGAGGCTTTTGTTCAAACTTTCTCCTGTGACGGGTCCCCTGGACCATGAAGGGCTGCACCAGCCTTCTCAAAGCCGTCTGCGGCAGCTACACTAAGGTGGAAGTGCAGCGAGCTTTTCAAGCTGCTTACGTTGTGACTACTTCGGCTCAGGCCTGCGTCACTGCAGTTTTTGCGCTTGCTGTGCAGGGGAAACTTTCCCACACGTACTCACCAGAGCTGCCGACAGGGAGAAAACACGCGGGAAGCAAGCGAGGGCAGCACATTCATGTTTATTCCATTTTCGAGATGACTGGAAGATGACCCCCAAATAACAGTACTCCGAAACCACAGGCACTGTGAGCCTTGGAGGGTGAAATTAAAATTGGGCGACCTACAACCTACAACTAGAACAGCGGTCTTATCAGGCCCAATGCCAAATGAAAATCTCCAACGCGCACCCCAAGCGCCAATGGCATCCAAAGCACGTTGGAGATCCGCGCGGCTTTCGGCCAACACAACAAGGTCGTCCGCATACAGCAACAAAGTAACCCTAGGCGAACCGGGACCACCTAGAGCTACTCCAGGGCAGGCCCCACGTACAGCAGAGGCTGTGCCGTTGAACACAAGATATTGAATAGCAGGGGACCAAGGACACTGCCTTGACGAACGCCGGCGGCTTCGGCCCAAGGTTCGGAAAGTGCGCCATTTACAAAAACCCTGGCCGATGTGCCCGTGAGCAAGTCATCCAGAACATTCCAGGTCGAGCCCGTAATGCCAGACTCCGCAAGCTTCACTAAGGCAGCATCCCTCCAGGCCACGTCAAGGGCTTTGCGTACGTCCACAAACGCACAAAAGGTACGTTTACGTTTCCGCAAGCGCAAGGTTTCAGCAAGGGTATACACATGTTCTTCGGCGCCCCAACGAAAACCAGCCTGACACTCATCAATTTGTGGGCTGACGTGCGGCAAGATCCGTCTGAGCATGAGCCTCTCAAAAGCTTTTAAGCTACAGCATAAAAGGCTGATGGGACGGTAGTTTGTGAAATCTTCGGCCGAACCTGATGTGCAATGGTTTAACAACAGCAGTTTTCCATACAGATGGGACAACAGCCCAATAGCGAATGAGCTCAAACAGACAGAGTAATGCTGAGCGGAGGACAGCATCATCAACACGAAGAAGTTCATATGTCAAGCCGTCCGGACCCGGGGCTCGATTGGCAGGCAAATCTTTCAAAACCCCGATTAACTCAGGCTCAGAGAATGGGAAGTCCAACCTTCCCGTGGCCAGCGGCATGGTTGCCCGCAACGCATGGAGCTGCTCTGCAACGCTGGGGCCGCAATCGTCATGAGATGGCGAGATGACAGAGGCTGGGACGTCACGAAAATGGCAGCGCCAAGCATCCAGGCAGGCACTGCCTTCCAAGCTACCTCCATGGGACGACGAGTTACGCATGCAACGTGGGACAGGATTCCTGGCGAAACCAAGCTGCCGACGAACATTCCTGGCAGCTACCGCAGGGTTTGAAAGCGCAGCTTGCTCTTGAGACTTGAGACTGTAACCACATTTGCCAAAAACGTGCCTTTTTTGCGCGGACTAAGTGATGGAATTGCAAACGTTTCGCACGAAAAGTTTGCTGCACATCAGGCGTGCGCTCATGGCACCAACGACGCCACGCTGGACACAAAGCCACCGTACAATACATCAAGCATCGCACGGCGATCACCGACGGAAGGGCTTGGACATTCTTGGCGGATCCACATGATTGTCTGGGTCCAATGAAGCAAGCAAGGGCGCAATTCGCGCACGAATGGCCGCCAGTCGCGCACCACCGGCCAACTTGGAACTGGCTCGCCAGACGTGGCTGGCACAATTGCAATCTGAAAAGTAATGAGCCTGTGATCGCTCCCTAAAACCGGGAAGCAAGAACCCTGAGGGCAGGCGCATGATGCCCCATCATGAACAACAATGTTACGGATGGATAACGAACGAGAAGCAATAACAAGATCAATGCTTGAACCTGACCGATGCGTAGGCACACCGACAGGATTTGCAATTAGCAGATGAAAGTCTATGCACAAATCACGGATGAGGTCTCGCAGCTGCGACTCACCGGATCTTTCCCGCGCCGATCCCACGACTTCACCCATGTACACATTGGAGTCTCCAGCCAACAGCAAGTGACAACGAGGGTACAGGTGCAGAACCTCTTGAATTGACACGCGGAGTGCGTTCCCAAACTCCATACGGGTGGCAATTGGCATACGTACATGTGGGGCATAAAAACTACAGACCAATACAGGCGAACTACAACTAGGAACGGGTGAAAGACACCTCCACCGAGATCGTGAGGAAACATTGCGCATTGACACTGGCCAGGAGGACGACGTGCTGTTCACCAAGAACCCAGCCTCGCACCCGTTCAACCCTTGCGGACCGTCATATGCATAGGGTTGGTCAACTGGCAAGACAGCTCCAGCTGGAGCACGCGTTTCTTGGACACACAACAAATCAACATTCCACGTTTGCAGCAGTCCCGTTAGACCATGAAATGCTGTGTGTTCAGAACCGCCTGGCAACCACAACCGGTTACAGCTCAACAGTGCCAAGCTCACATAGGTCGGCCCTCGCGGCGCTGGCGGGGACGACGAGAGCCGCCGACGTTTCCCGTGCCCTCCACTTGCGCAAACAAGCGTAATTCTTCAAGGGAGCTACGGATGTTAGCAGGCAAATGAGCAACGTCCCCCGGGAGACCAGAACACGACCGATTTTGGCCCCGACGCTGCACGCCAGTCCGTCCACGGATGCGCCAATTCACCCGGCACACCGTAGGTAACAACACGCTCATTTGCGGTCTGAAGCTGGTCATTCCGTTCAGATTCAGAAGAGATCCAAGCGGTCTGGAAATGGGATTCCAAGGTTTTCTCTACCGCTTCCACAGCAGCCAGCGGCGCCTGATTGATTGAGAGTTGCATTTTTCCTGATGGCCACACAGCCACCCACTTGATCCCAACCATTCCCTTCGGGTTTTTGCCTTCTTTCAGGGCATGTGGCAAGATGCAAATGCTTGCTATCACTTGCTCAGAAAGTAGCATGGCTATGGTGATGTCACTCTCGTCCCCTTGACATCCGCTCTGCTTGATGCTCTGTTGGGCGTCTCCTCGCCACAGTTCCGGGTTATCCTGTTACTTTGCCCCTCGAGCGGGCAGTCGCGCGCGTCTGCCAAGAAGCTG